AATAATAAAAATAAGCAAATTAAAAATAAACAAAACACAGTTTTTAAAATTTTAGCTTACTTTATACTGTCTAAAAATATCGTTGATTGAAAATTTTTTATGATCTCTGTAAACTAAAGAGAATCATAGATTTTTTATAGCCCCTTTCTGCGCAAATGTAAAGGTTTTAAATCTATAATCACATTATAAACCCAATTTGAATAATTAATTAAGCCAATCGTTTTATGAGTCAAGAGTAGAAAGAGTAGGAAAAAGAAATTCGCTTCCCCAGTGACTTGTTGATGGTTAAGCAGAAAGATAAGATCAACTAACTACAAACAGTTGAATTCTTCATGGTTATACATAAAAAGCTCTTTTTGTAGATTGCAGATTGTAGAAAGTAGATTTCACTTGATGTTATTGTCTAATACTTTTTCTCTTGCACCTAAACAGACATGAGACTTCTAGAAGAAATCAATTTGATAAATTTAATATATGTTTTCTATTTCAACCATATTCTTCGATTGCAATCAAATATATATATTATATATTCATAGTTCATAAATAATAAATATGATAATTATAGTTAAATGAGAAATGAATTTCAATGCACACAATTTTTCGATAAAGTTTTGTGCACCCCCCTTTGACCTGTTTAGCTAAGTGAAAGTAGTCATAACTAATAAGTACTCGAAATTGGAACTACGCTGAGATATTGTAAGACTTGGACATGCGTATCGATTGGTTATTGATTATTTGTGGGGCGTAGCCTGCACTTGCTTTCTGGGTATTTAAGAGAGCCCCTTCGAGTAGTTAAAGCTGTGAAGAGCTGTTTCTTTTTTTAAATATTGTTTGAACATAAGTTACCTGCTGCTTCGGCCTTGGGAGCTGGTATTGGGGAGAGCGATATATCGAATGGTTGCTGTTGTTGGTGTTGCTGTTGCTCCTGCTCTTGCTCGAATTGCTCAGCATCGGCATTCTCCTCGATGGGGGACTGCACATTGGTCAGCGAGTGCTGCGGCGTTGGCGAATTGCGGTCCTGGGAGGCCAAGGCATTGGCTAAAATTTCATTTGCCTGCTTATCGGTCAAATGCTGCACACGTTTGTTCTTTAGATGATGTGGCGTATCGCTGGAAGGGGAAAACAAGCAAACGGATTGGCAACGTGTTTCGCTATGCATTTCTTAATCAGTCTTACCGTCTATGCAGCTTGGGTGGCCGCTTGTAGAAATCATCGTCTTCGCCTTCCACCTGAAAGCCCACACGACGGTCGGTTTCCTGCAAGAATAGTGAATATAAGTAGAAATGATAATTATCAAAAATATATTTAATTAATAATAAACTGTAAATTTACTTACATATTCATCTTTATCTTCATCATCAGCGACATCGGCAACTGTTGCTGCTGTCATGTCGCTGGCCTTCGCTGAGCCAGAGTCGCCCTGTGTGGTTGGTGGCGCTGCTGCAATTGTAACCGTTTGTGTTGGTGAAATGACGCCGACCGCAGCGGGTTTCGAATTCACCACCACCGCAGCTGGTTTCTGCACCGGCTGCGCAGCAGTTGTGTTATTGGTTGCTGTCACGGCTACCTGTTGCTGATTATTGACCACAGTGCGCGGCTCAACGGGGGTTTCTGTCACGACTGACTTGGTGCCATTCTGTTATGAATAAATTAAATATTGATTTAAGTAAGCAAAATGTAAAGGAAGCAATAAAGTAGAAGTATAAAGTATTGAATTTAATTTAATGCAGCAGAATAAAGCAAAATACGTATAGAGGGAATATAAACATACTTAAGCATAAAAAAACTTAAACTAATAAAATTAAAAATAACTTAAAGGCAACAAATTTTCTTAGCTAAATATACTCAAGTGACTTTAAGCAATATTACTAATAATACTTTTAGTATGGGTAAATAAAAATCATAAAAGTAAAGAAAAAGCAGAAATAATTTCCATAAAAATAATAATAA